GAGCAGTGCCCTTGGGATGAAATCCCAAGCTGGCTCCACAGCACGGAGCCAGGACACAGCACTAAAATAACCACAGCCACTCACCTTGAGCTCCCGCAAAGGAAGGGTGGACTGGACTGGAACTCTGTGGGGACACCCGGGATTTGAAGCGCACTTAGAGTTTTGGCTGAGTCGTGGCCACTAAGGACAGTGGCCAGCTTGCTCTTTCCCAGAGATGTGGGGAAAAGCAGCAGCCCCTCCCCGGAGATTCAGCTTTTTCCAGGTGAGCCATAGAAATGCAAATTGAGGCTCATTAATAACCAGCATCTGTCCCACCCTCTGGAAATCCTCTTATATGGAACATCTGAGGCCTACATTCCAAGGCCCTGTGTAATAGCATGCAGGCAAAAAGGTAGAGGATACCTGAACCTTTCCTGGGCTTGCAAATCTACCCAGGAAAGTAAGACTGGACAGTGGTGTTTAACGTGGGCCCACCCAGGTTTGGTCAAACCCAGTACAGGGAGCCACAAACAGCAGAACAGCATACCCACAGGGAAAATTTGGCAGGCTCCCAAACCCACTGAGACAGCCAAACTGGTGAAACAAAGAAACAAATTCCAAATGAAACAAGAGAACTCTATGGAAGATGAGATCAATGAAATGCAGTTAAGCGTTATCAGAGGTACACTTCAGAGCCATGATCGTTTTTTTTTGTTTGTTTGTTTGTTTGTTTGTTTGTTTTGGATAAAGACAGTCTCTTTAACACACATTTTTTATTTTTTTTATTTTTTTATTTTTTTATCCTCACCCGAGGATATTTTTCCATTTTTTGTACAGATAGAGTGGGAGGGAGAGAAAGGAAGGGAGAGAGAGAGAGAGAAACATCGACGTGAAGGGACACATCGAGTGGCTGCCACCCGCACGACCAACCAGGGCCGGGGACAAACTGCAACCGAACTACGTGCCCTTAGCGGGAACCGAACCTGGGTCTCTCCGGACCGCAGGCCAACGCTCTAACCGCTGAGCGAAACTGGCCAGGGCTTGGATTTTTTTTTTTAATTTTATTTTTGTTACAGATGTTTCTCCTTTTTTTATCCCATTGACAACCTCCTCCCCATCCCCCCTCCCGGTCCCTGGCTTTGTTGTCCATGTCTATTGGTTATGCATACATGCATATAAGTTCTGTGGTTTATCTCTTCCCACCCCCCACCACGCCCTCTTCTGAGGGTTGTCAGTCTGTACCCTACTTCTGTGTCTCTGGGTCTACCCTATTCCTCAGACTGTTATATTCATTATATACCATATATAAGTGAGATCATGTGGTATTTGTCTTTTTCTGCTTGGCTTATTTCACTTAGGATAATACTTTCCAAGTCCCTCCATGTCGTCTCAAAGGATAAGAGATCTTTCTTTCTTAGAGCTGCATAGTACTCCATTGTGTATATGTACCACTACTTTTTTATCCATTCGTCTACTGATGGACACTTGGGCTATTTCCAGATCTTAGCTATTGTAAATAGTGCTGCTATGAACATGGGGGTACATATATACTTTTTGATTGGTGTTTCAGGCTTCTTAGGGTATATTCCTAAAAGGAGGATCACTGGCCCTGGCCGGTTTGGCTCAGCAGTTAGAGCGTCGGCCTGCGGTCCTGAGAGACCCGGGTTCGGTTCCCGCGAAGGGCACGTACCTCGGTTGCAAAAAAATGAAACTAGACCATCAACTTACACCATACACAAAAATAAACTCAAAATGGATAAAAGATTTAAATGTGACTCGTGAATCCATAAAAATCCTAGATTAAAAGGTAGGCAACAAAATTTCAGACATCATATGCAGCACAACTTTCATCTAAGGCAACAGAAACAGAGGTAAAAATGAACACATGGGACTACATCAAACTCAAAAGCTTCTGCACAGCCAAAGAAACAACCATCAAAATGGAAAGGCAACCCACTGTATGGGAGAGCATAATTGCCAATGATATATCAGATAGAGGTTAATTTCCAAAATATATAGACTGCTCATACAATTCAACAAAAGGAAGACAAAGAACCCAGTTAATAAATAGGCAGAGGAGCTAAGTAGACATCTCTCCAAACAGGACGTACAAATGGCAAAGAGACATATGGATATGCTCAACATCACTAATATGCTAATCATCAGAGAGATGCAAATTAAAACAGCTATGAGTTATCACTTTACATCTGTCAGAATGGCCACTATCAACAAATCATCAAACAAGTGTTGGCGAGGGTGTGGAGAAAAGGGGACTCTAGTACACAGCTGGTGGGAATGCAGACTGGTGCAACCACTATGGAAAACAATATGGTGTTACTTCAAAAAGTTAAAAATTAAACTTCCATTTGACCCAGTGATCCCACTTTTAGGAATATACCCTAAAAAGCCTGAAACACCAATCAGAAAAACTATGTGTACGTCCATGTTCACAGCAGCACTATTTACAATAGCTAAGATCTGGAAACAGCCCCAGTGCCCATCAGTAGACGAAGGGATAAAAAAGCAGTGGTACATGTACACAATGGAGTACTATGCAGCTGTAAGAAAGAAAGATCTCTTATCCTTTAGGACAACATGGAGGGACCTGGAAAGTATTATCCTAAGTAAAATAAGCCAAGCAGAGAAAGAAAAATATCACATGATCTCACTTATTTGTGGAATATGATGAACATAACAGTCTGAAGAAGAGAGTAGTCCCAGAGACGTGGAAATGGGGTTCAAACTGACAATCCCCAGAAGAGGGGGTCGGGGGGAAGAGATAAACCACAGAACTTTTATGCATGTATGCATGACCAATGGACATGAACAACAGTGCTGGGGACAGGGCGGGGAGGGAGAGGGAGGAGGGTGTCAATGGGGGGAAAAGGAGAAACATCTGTAACAAAAATAAATTAATTAATTAAATTAAGTTAAAAGAAAATAACAAAGCAGTAAAAGCAAAGTACCAAATAGTAAAACGTGCTATGTAGAAAAAGACCACAAGGTGAGGGAGGTAGCATATGCCTGGCTGGCAGCGAGGTCTCTTTTCTTTAGAGTGGACAGGGAGGGCCTCCCCAGCAAGACAATATTTTGTAAAGATCTGGAGGCATGACTTCTACCTCTGGCTTTAATAGGCTCCCTCAGCTCCTCTATTGCGAGCAGACCCTAAGGAGACACGGTGGGGGACACAGAGGTGTAATCAGGAGGCTCTTACAACAGTCGAGGAAGAAGATCATGGAAATGGAAAGTGATTAGCTTCTCCATGTATTTTGAAGGTACAGCCAACAGTCTGTGCTCATGGACTGGATGAGGGACACGAGAGGAAAAGGCGCGAAGACAGCACCGTGGTTTTGGGAAACTGGCTGGAATTCGGCTGTCAAAGAGCAGCCGCCATGCTTGGCTCACTGCTCCGGTTTGGTTCTGGGTCCCTTTCATTTTCTCTAGGCCACACCCTCTAATGATTCTATTGTTTACATTTAATCAACTACAAAGAGTAGTTTTCGGTTAACAGAAAAATTGAGCAGGAAGTACAGAGACTTCCCATATTCCCTCCCCACCCCATGTACAACTTCCCCCATTTTCAATAGTTTTCATCACGGTGGGACATTTGTTACAACTGATGAGCCAACACACATCGTCACCCGAAGTCCATAGTTTAGGGTCACTCTTGGTGTTGTATGTTCTATGGGTCTTGACACATGTATGATAACATGAGTCCTCCATTACAGAACAGTTTCACTGCCCCCAAATCCTCTGTGCTCCATTTATTTATCCCTCCCTTCCCCCAGCTCCTGGCAACCACTGATCTTTTTACTGTCTCCATAGTTTTGCCTTTTCCAGAATGTCATCTAGTTGGAATCACACAGTATGTAGCTTTCTCAGATTGACTTCTTTCATTTAGTAATGTGCATTTACGTGTTCCCTGTGGCTTGACAGCTCATTTATTTTAAGTGCTGAATAATATTCTATAGTCTGGATGTCTCTCAACATATTTATCCATTCACCTACTGAAGGACATCTTGGTTGCCTCAAGGTTTGGGTTATTATGAACAAAGCTATTATAAACCTCCATGTGCAGGTTTTTAAATGCACATAAATTTTTTACTCCTTTAGATTAATACCAAGGATTATAAGAATGTGTTTAGCTGTGTAAGAAGCTCCAATCTTCCAAAGTGGCTGAACCAGTTTGCATTCCTACTAACAGTGACTGTGAGTTCCTGAGGCTTCACATCCTAGTCAGCATTTAGTGTTGTCAATCTTTTATGTTTGGGCTATTACAATAGGGGTGTAACTGTATCTCGTTGCTGTTTTAATTGCTTCATTTTCATTGGTTGCCAAGAATTCCTTTTAAAAAATAAATGGGCCTTTTCTAAGACTTCATCTTCCTGGAACACTGGGGCCTTTAAAACTTCCTCTCCATTTTCAGAAACATTCTCTTGGGTCTCAGATTGGACAGAACCACATAGAGCCCTGTACTGGACGTTGTTAGTGGACAAAGGACTCTGAGAGCCAGAGTCTGTCTGCACGCAGCTCCAGTCCACTTGACGCTTTCCCTGCTCTGCCATTTGTCTCTCTGAATGGCCCTGTGACTCTCCTTCCTCCTATTAGTTTCTAAAGAAGAATATTGCCGTTGGCATGACTTGCTTTTCCCACTCCGTGCTTAGTCTACTAGAGTGCATGAACATTTTAGCCATCATGTTTAGGCTAACAAGTCTCAGAATTACATCCCCAGTCCTAACTTTTTGCCTAAATTCTAGGCGTATTATTTCTAGATACCTAGAGAAGACCTCATCTCGAATATCTTGCATTCTTTCCTTTTGCTGTCTCTCAAATTCCATGTGTGTCTCTATTTCCCTCTCAGTGTCTCTCATGTTGTCTCTGTCTGGGGTCTGCAGCTGCTAGTCTTGCATGATTACCCCCTTTTGCTCACATCCCGCCTTGACTGTGAGCTGGTCTTCCATCAAAGTACCCGCTGGCGGGCAGTTCTCACCTCCTCTGCTGCTGGCACCTGGCCTAGGCCCGCCTCTTCCCTGGGATCCTGCAGCGGCTTCCCCTGGTCTCTCCTCCACTTTCGCTCCTTTCCGACACATCCTCTGCAGAGCAGCCAGGGTGTTCTCTTCTTCCCCAGCCTTATTCAGATATAACTGACATATAACATTGTATAAGTTAAAGGTGTAGAACGTGTTGATTTAATGCATTTACATATTGCAAATAAGTGACATTTTAAATCAGATGCTATCGCTTTCCGATTTAACGTTTTCCAATGGTGCTCCATCACTGTCATAATAAAGTCCAAATTCTCAAGGGCCTAAAGCCCCTGTGTTATCTGACTTCTGCCAACCTTGCCCAAACTAATCTCTGACCATGTCTCTCATTTCCAGCTTTCAGACACGTATAGCTAGTTCCCCTCGGGGCCTTTCCAGCTGCTCTTCCTCCGGCCTGGAGTGCCTGCCCCAAAGGCTCCCTTCACTAGCTCCTTCTCAACGTCCAGGTCTCAGATTGTCCCTGACCGCCTGAGGTCAGGTGGTCACCACCTCCCCTAGAAGTCACATTCACTTTCTTTCCCATTTCCCGTTCTGTTTTCTTTACAGCATTTATTAATTATTGTCAGAAATGGTCTCAATTGCTTACATGTTTGCAGTCTGCCTCTCTCCAGTAGAATGTCAGTTCCCTGAGGACAGGAACCTGGTCTTGTCTCCCACCAGAGCCTAGAGCTCAGAACGAGGTCTGGCACACAGCGGAAGCTCAAAAAAAAGAAAAAAGAAAAAAAAATCTATGGAATAAATAAATATATTTGAAACTCAACCCTCCTCCAAATAACTTACCATCCTGTTCTTTCCATCTGATTCTGAATGATTTTCTTTCCCAAGTTCCATTTCTCAATCCCCTAAAGAAATGTTTTGGAGTCATCTTTGTTTCTTCCCCCTTTTTGTACCCTCTACTCAATGCGAGCCTCAGATCTAGTCCCGTCGCTCTTCATTCCATGTGGTTTTTCAGATGCTGCTTCCCTTTCTTAGTCATGGCCCACACCACTGACCTATTTTGCACCTTTGGTCTTTCTATGTTTTCCTAACATTCCAGAGAGTGTTGCCAGACTATGTTTCTAAACACTTGTTTCAAATTTTATGCCCCAAAAGTGTACATTCCTTTTAGGAATTGGTTAAGTACAGAATTATCACTCTGTGCAATTGATGCTAAGTAGAAGCTTCAAGAAGTGCAAGTGATTAGCTATCAGAGTAACTAATCAGCTGTGAGGTCTTATGCATGTAGTTTGTTGTTGAAACCTGTATCCTTGAATTTCATCCAGAAACCAATTTAAATGTAAACCAGTTGAAGACGTTTCCTGGTAATCTGGTGGGATTTAATTTTGAAATAGTACAGTGATACCTCGGTTCTCGAACATAATTCGTTCCAGGAGGACGGTCGAGAACCGAATTGTTCGAGAACCGAAGCAATGAAACCCAATAGGAAAGCGTGACTCCACAAAGCGTGACTCTCTCTCTGCACTCACACTGCTGACGCCAGCAAGGCGCGCTGGGCCGAATGAACGCCATTCGGCTCAACTCCGCTCATCTCGGAAGTTCGAGTTCCAAATATTTGTTCGGATTCCAAGACAAAAGTTTCTCGAATCTCCATTTGGTCGAAAACCGAGGCGTTCGAGAACCGAGGTATCACTGTAATTGCAAAGGTCCACATTAAGTCTTTAAAGAAGAATTTTGGAGGGTGAGATCTGGTCTCTGTCTAGGGGGGCTCATTCCTTTGACTCTACTGGCCAGTGCGCGTAATTGGATGGCTTTCTTCGACTCGGAGAATGGTAACACACTAGGTGTTGTTAGAATGCTATAGGTGCCTGTGAAAATAGTTTCTTTTTTAGTTTTTTCTGACTTATTTCACTTAGCATAATATTCTCAAAACTAAGAACCATGTGATTTCACTTATATATGGGATATAAAATGGAAACTCATAGACACAGACAACAGTAGGGTGGTTACCAGAGGGAAGGTGAGTAAGGGGTAGTAAAGGGTAAAGGGGGCCAAATATATGGGGACAGAAGATGACTGACTTAGGGTGGCGAGCACGCAGTACAGTACACAGGTCATGTATTAGAGAAATGTACACTTGAAACCTATATAATCTTATTAACCGATATCACCCCAATAAATTTAATTGAAACATAAAATGAAGAATTTCCTTTTTCCTGATTTATTTTGTAAGTTGTAGTTTTATTTATTTAAATTTTATTTTATTTTTCCATCACTATATATCTCCTCTATGCCCTTTTCCACCTCCCCACAATCACCACACTGTTGTCCATGAGTTCTCTCTCTTTTCTTTTTTTCTCAATCCCTCCACCCTTTTTACTGATTCTTTGCTCACCAACAACCTGCTGCCATACAGATATGGTACCAAGTTTTGATAAAGGCAGATTTCCCCCCCAAAATAAAGTTGTTGACATTATTGTTTATATATCAGGCTCTTGCAAAGTTGGTTTGTGTGAAATGATTTCCCAAATTAGTTCATACTTGGATAAAGTGATACATGTGAGATGCTGCAGTCTCAGTCTGTATTTGGTCCAGACAGGCCCTGAGATGTCTATTCCTTTGGCACCCACAGTGATCCACACTCGCTGACGCCCCATCCTGGTTCAGTTGCAGCCATCATTGCGCGAGCTTGACCATGTGTCTAACCTTGGCCGCTGGAACGTCAGCAAACAAAATCTGAGCGGAGGCTTGCTTGGCACGCACTCTGGAACGTGTCCTCGTGAGCCCTCCTTGGAACCCAGCGCCTGTGCTGTGCAGAGGCCCGGGCAGCTCTGTGGAGAGGTCCACATAGAAAAGAACGGAGGGCCCTGGGTACAACGCCAGCTGAACTCCCAGCCATGGGCTGCACCAGCTCTGTCGCAATGAGCAGTGCGACTTGGAACTTCTCTTTATGCCGGTGTCCTGTCCCTGACAGTTTTCCCATCTTGAAATACCTTTGGTGATTATACCCTAATTTCAATTGCATCTAGTCCTTTGCACACAAATGATAATAGGTCTGCCAGGCTGGTGTGGCTCAGGGGACTGAGCAGCGTCCCATTGTCTGTGAGGTCCCAGTCTGATTCCCAGTCAGGGCACATGCCCGGGTTATGGGCTCAATCCCCAGTAGGGGGCGTGCAGGAGGCAGCTGATTGATGTTTTACTCTCACATGGATGTTTCTCTCTCTCTCTAAAAAATCGGTAAAAACTTTACCAGAATAAAAATAGGCCTAACAGCAAACTTTTATGCAGCATTTGCAATGTGCCAAGTACATAGATAACTGATTTACTATTGAGTGATTGCAACTCTGGCGGTATGTCAAAATATTTTCCCCCCAACCACTGGTTTAAACCATAATTTTGTCAAATCTCCATTTCCCATCTTTTGACAAATTCTTGGCTGCTGTAATTCATTCAGCAAATGCTATTGACTTCCCACTGTGTGTTAAACATTGGTGATACAGTAGTGAACAAAACAAGCAAAAACTCCCGCTCTCATTGACCCTACATTTTAGTGCAAAATATAAGTAATAAACAAAATAGATAATTGTATCAGATAATTTACTGTGTGGTGGTAACAACCTAAAATAGCAATGATGATCTGTGTAGGTTGGCCGCTGCCGTGCTCCACGTCTCCTTCACGGTCACGGAGAAAGCCGTCCCGAGGGCGTGCTGGCCCCTGGCAGAGGGGAGAGATGGCAGAGCCATTAATATATTCTACCACAATTATCAAACTATGTTAAATGTAGATAAAGGCTAAGTTGAAAAATGCAGAACGACTTCCGGTCAAGATGGCGGCGTAGGTAAACGCGGTATCGCGTCCTCCCAAAACCGCATCAAAGTTACAACTAAACTACAGAACAACCATCATTCAAAATCCCCTGAAATCAAGCTGAATGGAAGTCCTACAACTATGGAATTAAAGCAGCAGCCACATCCAGACTGGTAGGAGGGGCGGAGGCGGAGGGGCTGGTCCCACACCCACGTGTGGCAGATAAAAATCAGGACACCTCGGCTGGGAAGGTCCTTCCTGAGGACTGAGGGGTCCCTGTCCCACACGACACGCCCCGCTCAGGGTTCCAGTGCCGGGAAGAGAAGTCCCCATCACTTCTGGCTGGAAAAACCAGCGGGAACTGAGGCTCAGGGAGGCTGACACAGCTGGAGCCCCAGGCAGCTCCTCTTAAAGGGCCCGCGCACGGACTTATCAGACTCTCTCCCTCTAAGCTTGGAGGAGAGGCAGCTCGAGGGGCGCCAGAGACACACAGGGAAGAACTGAGCTGTTTGGCATTGGAGCGAGGGCTGGAGGGGGGGCTTTCTCCGGGACAAACGTGCTGTCAGAGGCCTTTGTTCCTTTGGTGAGCCCTTCCCTGGGGCAGCAGACAGTCGCCATATCTGGGACTCCAGCAACCTGGCCCACACTGGTAGCCCCGCCCTGCTGACTCCCTGAGGCCCCGCCCCACCCAACTTTCAGGCCCACCCAAGCTCTTGCCAGTTGTTTCACCATAGGATTGACCTGTCTTGGATCCTGCTTCAGGTTTTACTAAATTCTTTCAAACAAGGAGCATCCGGTCTCAGATAGCCCCATACCTCTCGTTAAGTAATACACAGAAACAAACACAGGGAGGCAGCCAAAATGAGGAGACAAAGAAATAGGCCCCAAATGAAAGAACAGAACAAACCCCAAGAAAAGAACTAAGCAAAATGGAGATAAGCAACCTCACAGATGCTGAGTTCAAAATACTGCTTATAAGGATGCTCAATGAACTTAGTGAGGGCCTCAAGAGCATAAAAAAGGACCAGTCAGAAATGATAGATGCACAGTCAGAAACGAAGGAGGCATTAACTGAAATAAAGAATAATTTATACAGATTCAATAGTAGAGTATGTAAATCCAAGAAGCAAACCATTGATTTGGAATATAAGGAAGCAAAAAACGCTCAATCAAAACAGCAAAAAGAAAAAGGAATCCAAAAAAATGAGGATAGTGTAAGGAGCCTCTGGGACAACTTCAAGCGTGCCAACATTCGCATCTTGGGGGTGCCAGAAGGAGAAGAGAGAGAACAAGAAATTAAAAACCTGTTTGAAACAATAATGGCAGAAAACTTTCCTAACTTGCTGAAGGAAACAGACATACAAGTCCAGGAAGCACAGAGAGTCCCAAACAAGATGAACCCCAAGAGGCCCACACCAAGACACATCATCATCAAAATGCAAAAGGTTCAAGACAAAGAGAGAATCTTAAAAGCAGCAAGAGAAAGGCAGCTAGTTACCTACAAGGGAGTTCCCATAAGGCTGTCAGCTGATTTCTCAAAAGCAACTTTGCAGGCCAGAAGGGAGTGGCAAGAAATATTCAGAGTGATGAAAAGCAAGAACCTACAACCAAGATTACTCTATCCTGCAAAGCTGTCATTTAGAATCAATGGCCATATAGAGTTTCCCAGACAAGAAAAAGTTAAAGGAGTTCATCACTACCAAACCGTTATTATATGAAATGATGAAGGGTCTTTTTGAAGAAAAAGATAAAATATATGAATAAACAAAATGGCAATGAATACATATCTATCAACAATGGAATCTACAAACAAAATGAACAGGCAGAACAGAAACATTCTCATAGATACAGAGAACATTTTGTTGATTGCCAGATGGGAGGGGGGTTGGGGGAATGGGTGAAAAAGGTGAAGGGATTAAGAAGTACAAATTCATTGCTAGGCTGACAAACCTCAAAGGGAAAGGGGTTGGGGGGTGGGAAAAAATAAACCAAAGAACTTATATGCATAAACAATGGACACAGACAATAGTGTGGGAAAAGGGGGGGGGGTGTGGGGAGGAGGGGGTCAATGGGGGAAAAATGAGGAACATCTGTAGTACATTCAACAATAAAGATTTAAAAAATAAATAAAAGTAGTCATGCCTAGCCGGTGTGGCTCAGTGGTTGAGCATCGACCCATGCACCAAAAGGCTGCTGGTTCATGCCCTGGCCAGTTTGGCTCAGCGGTTAGAGTATCGGCCTGTGGTCCAGAGAGACCCGGATTCGGTTCCCATTAAGGGCACGTACCTCGGTTGCAGTTTGTCCTCAACCCTGGTTGGGTCATGCGGGTGGTAACCACTAGATGTGTCCCTTTCACATCGATGTTTCTCTCCTCTGTCTCTCTATGTGAACAAAATATGGAAAAATGTCCTCAGGTGAGGATAGAAGACAAGAAAAAAAAAAAGCTGCTGGTTCAATTTCCCATCAGGGCAGAGGCTCAGGTTGTGAGCCCAATCCCCAGTGGGGAGCATGCAGGAGGTGGCCAATTGATGTTCGTCTCTCTCTCAAAATATCAATACAAAAAAATTTTTTTAGCCCTGGCCGGTTTGGCTCAGCGGTTGGAGCGTCAGCCTGCGGTACAGAGACCCGGGTTCGGTTCCCGCTAATGGCATGTACCTCGGTTACAGTTTGTTCCCGGCCCTGGTTGGTCGTGTGGGTGGCAGCCACTTGATGTGTCCCTTTCACATCGATGTTTCTCTCTCTCTCTCTTCCTCTCTCTCCCTCCCACTCTATCTGAACAAAAAATGGAAAAATGTTCTCAGGTGAGGATAAAAAAAAAATTTTTTTTTTTTAAAGTAGTCAAATTAACCAAAACATGGGGCATTTTACAGCTGTAGTATCATACTCCTGAACATGTTACCAAAAGTGTACATAAAATCTTGTGCCACTACTTCCTGTGATAAAAACTACTTAATTAAAATTGTTAATATCTATACAAATAAAACATAAGTATTATCCAAACAGAGATTCACAGAGGAAATACATATTTAAATACTGTGGAAGGAAGTTCAATCCTGAAATTCCTAAGAGGTACTAAACAACTGTCTGCCTCCAAAGTGATGGAAAGAAAAGTATCTCTGGCTGTTCAATTTTCAAATTGCTGGGCAACAGTCCTATCAGAATAAAGTAAATCTCTCTCTAAAATAAGTAGGATGAGGCTTCTGTATTTTTGTTTACTGATCCTGACAGCTACCACCGAGTTCTAGTGCTTCTACCTGTCTGAGTTACAGAGCTCTTAGGTTAACTAGAAGGTTTGGTTTCCCTTTTAAAGTGGTGTATGAGTCCATTAGGCATTTGTCTATGCTGCTCTCTCAGGGTTACTACACAGAAACAGTTAAAAGAATTTGTTTATTCCAAGACACTACTATAAAAAAAATATATACAAGGGTACATTTAAAGAAAAGTGTTTATTTAAGCCATCCACTAGGATCATAATAAATAATGCAATATACTAATGTAATAACAGATGTTTTCATGCATTTATCATATTTATAAATTTACAAAAAACCTGGCTTACAGGGCTGTTGGAACAAATTTAGAAGAGTGTATTTGGCAATACAGTGAAACTTAACAGTGTTAAGACTATTAAACAGATTATCTTTACTATCTTTTTTAAAAATACATTCTCTATATATCTGTGAATAAATGGTAATGTTTCTTTATAGTTTCTACTTTTTATAAACATGCCAGAGCTAAGCCAATTGTCAAAAGTTGATAATTTGTTATTTATTAGTATTTCTAATGGGAAACAGATTTTAAAAGGAAATAAAAATTAACGCTTCTGCATTTAAATGTGGAGGCTGATATATTGCAAGCCAGAATCATTTAAACAATAAAATATGATTGAATGAAATAAAACCCCAAAATAGAAGTTTATAAATAGCAACTTTAATACTCAATATACAAATGCTATAGTATTAAACGATGTTTGTAATTTGGTAAGTAACCAATTATCTGACTGCAAAAGTGGTAAACTTTGATTAAAACTTAATTTTGCTAGCAAATTTCACATAAAGTTAAAATAGGGTAAACTTTAACATAAATAATTTAAACATATCTTAAACACTGAAAATGTGTTCTTATGTTATTTACAATTAGTCAGTGATACCAGTGTATAGCCAATTACCAGTCTTACATCCCTATTTCAACATCTGCTATTACAATCTCCCTTTTAAATACTATGCACATCAGTTTAGTGAAGGAGAGCGATCTGTGGTCCAGAGTAATTCGATGAATGGCCATTTGGTTTGAAGACAGCGTTTAATAGGAGTGTCATCTGTTTGTAGCATGGGATCTTCAAAACCCATAACAACTGCAGTCCCTTCCACATACATGACCTGTTGAACAAAATAAAAGCATCAAGGTAAATCAATATTCTCAGCAACTTTTTAGCAGGGATACAAAATTTTTCATAGGCTAGCAAATAAGGCACTATATATTGTTTCACATGAAACTTTACATCTAATTTTATTGTGACAGAAGTTATAAGGAAGAATATCTATTTACTGATTAATGTGAAAATAAATTTGGAAACAAGACGGAGATACAAATTTAACTGCTAGGTGACCAATTGATTTTTAGATTATAAATTTATGACAAGAAAAAGCATTTAAAAATCTGAAATACAGCCCTGGCCGGTTTTGCTCAGTGGTTAGAGCGTCGGCCTGTGGATCTGAGAGTCCCAGGTTCGGTTCCCACTAAGGGCACGTACCTCGGTTGCGGTTTGTCCTCGGCCCTGGTTGGGGTCATGTGGGTGGCAACCAATCGATGTGTCTCTCTCACGTCAATGTTTCTCTCTCTCTCTCTCTCTCTCTCCTTCTCCCTCCTGCTCTATCTGAAGATGAATGCAAAAAAAAAAAATGTCCTCAGGTGAGGATTAAAAAAAA